AAGTGTTGATATGATGGTGAAAGCAAATCTACTGTACAAGTGTTGATATGATGGTGAAAATCCTGTATTCAAATGTCCATCAAAAGAAGAACTGACTGTCCCTCTGTTTTCCCAAACATTGGCATGCACTTGGCCCCTGTTGCAGCTGTGTTGATACTGATAAACTTGTCACATCATTTGGCCAGCTTTACTATTCCAACTGTGAGCCAAATTTAAATCCTGTGCAAAGCAATTCCTGAGAATTAATTGTCTGCATGTATAGTGTGTGTGAATAAAGTATTACGCATTCTCGATGCTCCAGGGGTGACGCTCACTTTCGTTCTCTGCACTCCCCTGGAGTATCGAGGATAAATAGTTTGTTGTGAAGGCAATATATAAGTCAGAACGAAATAAGAATCTCACGATGTATGGCTGTTTTCCTCCAAATGATAAAGCAAGACATGCTGATGGCTCACCAGTTTCATGCATCGTACGTAGGACACCCTTCTCAGCTTTCGTAATGTTATCCTGATTCCCCCTTCCTCCCCCGTACTATAGTTATATATCATTTATGAAAGTCAAAAGGATCTATCTTTTTGATGAATTGACACAATGTAATGGCAGTTTACACTTTTTACAAAGTGTGAAAACTGTACCTAAATAAGTTAAATGTCAGATAAACACATTTGACTAATGGGAGTTTTCTACCGGCCGCTTTCGGCTACGTAGAATTACCTGAACAGGACGACACACCTCCCTTTCACATTATTCTTACAATGGGTTAAAAATAGGTGCTGAAGGAAACACCCACCCGGCCACATTCTTCTTACACCAGGTTAAACAGAGGTACGCCTACGCTCTAAAATAGGCATTATTGCCATTTTTGTGTATTGACTTTCAACTTGGTATATGACGATAACAAAGATTTACCGTGTTTTACTGTTTTCTCGAAATCTGGAAAAAAACACCTGACAGTGTTTATAGAAACAGGTGCATAACATTAAATAAGAATATATGACTCTTACATTAAACTGGAACACATCAGCATTTGTTTAATCCCTAGCACATGGCCAGTAGTTTAATAGGAAAAATAGGAAGGCATGACTATTTGTTTAATTCGGAACACATAACCAGAAAGTTAATAGGAAAAATAGGAAGGCATGACCTTAATTTGGAACACTTAACCAAAAGTTTAGTTCGGAACACATGACCCTTAAGCAGATTTGGACTACATCGCCTTTAGTTTAAGCAGGAAAGCATGACGACTAGATGAATTCGGAACACATGACAAAGGGGTTACTTCGGAACACATGACAAGGGGTTACTTCGGAACAGATGATAAGGGGGTTACTTCGGAACAGATGATAAGGGGGTTACTTCGGACAAATTACCCCTTATTAAGCAAGGAGTATAGGGCCACGGGTTTTATTTGGAACACATGACAAGGAGGTTACTTCAGAACACATGACCACTAGGTTAATTCGGAACACATGATCACTAGGTTAATTCGGAACAAATAACCACTAGGTTAATTCGGGACACATGATTACTAGGTTAATTCGGGACACATAACCACTAGGTTAATTCGGAACACAGGACCAATAGGTTAATTCCGAACTCAGGACCAGTAGGTAAATTCAAAGCACAGGACCACTAGTTTTATTAGGAACACATGACCACTAGGTTAATTCGGAACACATAGCCACCAGGTTAATTCGGGACACATCACCACCAGGTTAATTCGGAACACATGACCACTAGGTTAATTCGGGACACATAACCACTAGGTTAATTCGGGCCACATAACCACTAGATTAGTTCGGAACACATGACCACTAGGTTAATTCGGGACACATAACTACTAGGTTAATTCGAGACACATAACCACTAGATTAATTCGGGACACATAACCAATAAGTTAATTCGGAACACATAGGTTAATTCGGAATACATGACAAATAGGTTAATTCCGAACAAAGGACCAGTAGTTAAATTCAAAGCACAAGACCACTAGTTTTATTAGGAACACATGACCACCAGGTTAATTCGGAACACATTACCACAAGGTACATCACCAGCAGGTTAATTCGGAACACTTGACCACAAGGTTAATTCGGAACACATGACCACTAGGTTAACTCGGATTTAGATTTAGAGCCCACTGTATGGCCTGTAACAATCATAGTAATCATCACTTATTTCTTACCTGTAACAATCATAGTAATCATTACTTATTTCTTACCTGTAACAATCATAGTAATCATAACTTATTCCTTACCTGTAACAATCATAGTAATCATCACTTATTCCTTACCGGTAACAATCATAGTAATCATTACTTATTACCTACCTGTAACAATCATAGTAATCATTACTTATTCCTTACCTGTAACAATCATAGTAATCATAACCTATTCCTTACCTGTAACAATCATAGTAATCATAACTTGTTCCTTACCGGTAACAATCATAGTAATCATTACTTATTTCTTACCTGTAACAATCACAGTAATCATTACTTATTCCCTACCTGTAACTATCATAGTAATCATTACTTATTCCTTACCTGTAACAATCACAGTAATCATTACTTATTTCTTACCTGTAACAATCATAGTATTCATTACTTATTCCCTACCTGTAGCAATCACAGTAATCATTACTTGTTCCTTACCTGTAACAATTACAGTAATCATTACTTGTTTCTTACCTGTAACAATAATAGTAATCATTACTTGTTCCTTACCTGTAACAATCATATTAATCATTACTTATTCCTTACCTGTAACAATCATAGTAATCATTACTTATTCCTTACCTGTAACAATCATAGTAATCATTACTTATTTCTTACCTGTTACAATCATAGCAATCATCACTTATTCCTTACTGACTTCTGAGAGGATTATCTCAAACGAAATATCACTTAACTACCATTGAGAAATGAATTTACCACTATTTACTGCAAACGTTGTAGATTAAAAGACATTTTCCTTGGACATATGAATAACATGTATGATAGAGGCTCTGTTTTTTGTCTATTTTTCAACATCAGTTTGGTTGATGAAAAATATTTAGATAAACATGTGTAAGCTTAAATTAGGTATCAGGTGCCACTGAATTTAACAACCATTTTAACGTTCACCAACAAAGCGGTGTTCGAATGTTTAAAGGTAAAAGGTTTTCCAGGTTTCCAGATTGCCTTTACCAGTCAGATTTAAATATATCAATAATAATATCACTAATGTTTCAAAAAAAGATACTTTCAAATTTGAGGTTTCTCTTGTGAAACCAATTTCTATTATAAATACTTACCACAGTCATTATAATGCATATTCCAACTTTACTTGGCTCTTTACATACGTAAATAATGATTTTTTTCCCCCCATGGGGAACCCCTGGGAAACCCACCAATCAGACGGCAGTATTCACGCACGTGATTTAAGAGCCAAGGAGACAAGGGGAGGCTGGGAGGGAACTCACCTAATGACTGTGGTAAGTATTTATAATAGAAATTGGTTTCACAAGAGAAACCTCAATT